ATGCCCCAGAAAGCGTTGGAAAAAGGGCCCGCGCGCGGCCTGGCGACTTCCCCGCGCCGCCCAAGGGGCCCCGAAGCGCGCCGAAATAACCGTAGAGAAATACCCGGAAAGTCTTTGGAAGGCCCCCGCACCATGCAATATCCGCCACCGAATAATCTCGCGGGCACCTAGCGCGTGCGCGCGGGCGTCCAACCATGGATGCCCAATTCCGGTTTCGGAGACAATCGCGCGCAACCGCGCGGGGGCTTCGGCGACCTCGCGATTGGCCCAGGGGCCCGCGGGCCCCAGGGAATCGAGGACCGAGTTCGCAACTCCGGAAGCATCGGGCGCGGCGCCAGCCAGTCGCTCGTCTCTGGCTGACAGTAGGACGCCTGGAGATCCGGTAAGAACCAGAAACCGGGGCGCGCCCAATTCTCGCGTCCGAACTTCTCTGAGAATCTCTGAAAATCTCTGAACTAGCCACCCCGCGTGAAACATTCCCATTAACCGAAAACCTCGGAGCTGGCCGAAACTCTCTGAGTGTTTTTTTCCGGCCTGCGAAATTTGGCGCGCCCGGATTTCAGGTTCCGAGATTCTCTGAAATCGGCCTGCGGCGGCGCCCAGCAGGTCCCCACTCGCCCAGGGTGGGGGCCGTGGACATCGCGTGCCGCGATGGTCCCGACCACGAGGTCCTCCTGCCCCATCGACGAGTCCACGCTCATGGACGCGCTCTCTGCGCGGAGCGTGGGCCGCGCCATCCGCCGGTACTTCTGCGCGACGACAGCCAACTGGCCGCCGACGGACAAGGCGATTCTTCTCCGAGCTGCGCGCGCCGCCGAAAACGTACAATAGCCCCGGGCTCGGGGAGAAACACTTTCGAAGCATTCAGGCCGCCACCGTCGCGGCCGCCGACCCGCCGCGCGCCGACCGCGAGACAAGCTGGACCCACTACGTCCACGGCGGCGGGCGGGCGCCCAAGAGAGCTGTCGCCGCGGTGCGCGCGGCGGGGCGCCCGCCCCACTGCAACCGCACATGCGGCCTCCATGGCGCCACAGGCGTAATATGTATGACGCACTCCCGGGCCCCCCATCAACGCATCGGCCAGCGCCCAAGTCCCTAGAACGCAAACCTACTGCGCCCCCCGTGCAAGCCGTGCACCCGCTCCCACTGCTCGTGCACGCCAGCTTTTCTGCCCGCCCTCAACAGTTTAATTGAGCGGCCATGTGCTACTTGGGCTCCTCAGGCCCTCGAACAGTCCTTGGGGGACTTCTGCGAATGCGCGCAAGGCGCTCCGCAATTCGGCGTTCTATTTTTCTTTGGAACTCTCCCAGAAACTCTGGTTCCGATTTGTCCCGATCTTCCGCTCAACTGATACATAGACTCAGTCAAATACGCGTCTAAGCCGGCCTGCCAGCCGACGTTGGCCGCGATGGCGGACCACTCCTTCTTACGCTGTCGGCTAGGAGCGCTGCTGACAAACTGGCGCAGGGTCAAAGGGCGCGAGCTTAAACTTCTTGCATGCCGCCTCGTGGAGACCACCGATGACGGTGACACAATGCTTCCGCGTGAGACCGCGCGCCGAGAGAAATGTGTCCCAGCCATCGTCGGTGGTGAGGTGCTGCAAAACAACTCGAGAACTTACTGGCAACATGCTCGCCGCCCCCCGCCACGTGCGACCGTCCCGACCCCTTCCCCCCACTAGGATCGAGCGAAACAGGCGCAGCCCCTTCCGCAAAGGGGGAAGCGCGCACGGGGGCAACAGGACGCCCACCTTCTCCAAAGGTGTCGCGCGCAGCTGCCTCGGCAGAGAGGACAGGCTCAGGCCCAGGGGCGTCAAGCATCTGGACCTCGTCATCATCGTCGCTGTCCTCAGCATCACTGGGTACACCACCAGCAGGCTGAACAATACCATCACGCGTAGCCACGAGCGCTCGCAGCGTCTCTGCCAGCTTGGGCGACAGGGACACGAACTGCATGAGCAAAGCAAACCCAGGGTCGTCGGCACCGGCTGCCGCAACAGCTCCGCCAGCACGAGGACGACCTTCTGCAGGTAGCTGACAGACCGCCGCCCACGCGGCCGCAGCCCTGACACCAGCAGCCCGCTCTTGAGACTGCACCTGGTCGAGCCTGGCTTTGGCCGCAACCAACTCCAAGAACTTCTCGTGCACCTCCTTCTCGAGCTTCGTGGCCTTGGCCTCGGCCTGCGCCACCTGCCGCTCGAGCTCGTCGTGAACCCACTGGCTGTGCTTCGCAGCCGCCTTGGGGTCACCAGCCGCCAGCGCACGCTGCGCCGACGCGCGGGCACGTTGACTTGGACTAAGGAGAGACTTGCTGGCTTCGAAATCATCACTGGACATCTTGACGAACAACGCCAACTGGGACTCGTCGAGCAGCTTGGGCTTGGCCTTCGCAACCTTGGGAGGCCCGTTGGCCCAGTCCCCCTGTGGAGCACGAACAGGAGGAGAAGCTGGAACCACAGGACGCTCAGCACCACACTTATAGCAGTGCTTCTGCCACGCGATAGTTGTCTTGAAACCGCACTTCTTTTTTGGACAACACCAGACATCGCCACGACCGAGACTGCCCACGGAACGCAAACGAACGAGGGACGCCACCGCGCGTGAGGCAAGCCTCATTACAGTGATGGTACTCCTGGGGAGTGGAAGAAAGCAGTGGGGCCGCAAATCCCCTTGCCAAAAAACTCGCGTCCGCTCGAGCAATGCCTCCGGACTTAAGCCAACATGGCTACGGATCCCTCCTCCCTCTCCTCCTCCTCCTCCTGATTTCTCCTCCTCCTCATCCCTCTCCTCCGTTTCCTCCCTCTCCTCCTCTCTCTCCTCCTCCCTCTCCTCCTCCTCCTCCTCCTCTTCCTCCTCCTCCTCCTCCTCCTCCTCCTCCTCCTCCTCCTCCCTCCTCCTCCTCCTCCTCCTCCCTCCTCCTCCTCCTCCCCCTCCTCCTCCCTCCTCCTCCTTCTCCTCCTCCCTGTCCTCCTCCTCTCGAACACCGATGGTCCTCAGGGCCCCCCGCTCTCTCCCTTCTCTCGCCCCCCCCCCCCCAAAGGTGCGAGGGCGGCGTTGGCCAGCAGAGGGTCCGCGGGCAGAGGTCGAGTCGGAGCGTTGACCCAAGGAACCCGAAATAAGGAACGAGGCCCTTTTCATCCACAAGTTGAACTTCGATTTCCCATCGAAAACCAGGGGGAAACGCAAGGCAAACTGTGAAGCAATCAAGGAACACAGGTGAAGCAATCAAGGAACACAGAACCCCTCCCCAACGAAAAAGGTTCCTTCTTCAGGGCCCCGACTGTAGCGCGCGGGCGCGGCGGACACATCCCGGCTTCGGACGGACTGCTGCTCCCAATCAGCGCTTGCACTGAAGGGGTCCTCGCGGCTGAGAAAGCCCCAATCAGCGGATGACTTGAAAATTCATACTGTGGATATTGAAAGCGATTGTGAGATCGATAGAAAGGATACCGATCGTCTAATCGATAGTGAGGAAGATTGCAAGGTCGATCGCGAGACCGAGAGTAGGATCGATCCAGTGAGATCGATCGTAAGATCGATCGCGAGATCGCTCATGCGATCTCTAGTGAGCTCGCTGGTGAGATCCATTGTGGGATCGATGGAGAGATCGGTAGAGAAGTGGGTAGATCGATGGTGAGACCGATCGGTAAGAACATCGACCAGGAACCAAGGAACCCGGGAACCTCGCCGCCCTCCGAAATCGGCCTGAGCTGGGAACTTGGGAACTCGGAACCAGGACCCCTGGAACCCAGCGTGCGACCAACATCGGCGGGAAACTTTTGCCAAATCCTTCAACTTCTGCGAGGACCCCTTCAGTGCAAACACTGATTCGGAAATGTGGCGAAATTTCCCGCCGATTCTGGTGGCAGGCTGGGTTCCCGGATTCCTGGCTCCGGGTTCCCAGGTTCCTGGTTATTGGTTCGGGGCCGATTTCGGTGGGGGGGTCCCGGGCTCCCGCTCTCCAGGTCGATCTCCTCATGAAAACCACCACTGATTTGGGCTCTCCTCGGGTGTAGGTTTGTTTCCAGCCCGCGGGCCACGCATGGATCTGCAGCTCGTCGTCCCTGGGGCGCGCTCTGTCACGATTCGCGGTGGCGGCCGTTATCCCGGGGATGCTCGCCCCCTCCCCCCAAAAAGTACAGCGCATCGAAGAAATCGAGACGGCGGTTTCTCGTTGATTTTCGGCCTCTGGGGGGCCCTCGCTGGGCGCCGCGACCGTCCAAAGAGCGACTCGGGACGGAAAACACGAGCCCGCGGGAAGGGGTCGAGACTTCAAGGGGCGCCGCATGGAAGAAATCAAGACATCGGATCCCTCCGCTGTTTCGCTGTTTGCCGCGCCATGAAGGTCTGTGCCTTGCAGCGCCACATCGGATCCCTGGGTCATCCTCCCCCCACCTGGCAACGTCACGGTTCGCGCCAGCGCCGCTTGGGAACTGCCAGGGGCAGCGAAATCCCAAGGCGGCGCCAGCGCGAACCGTCACGTCACTGGCCCCTTCGTGCCCCCCCCTTGCCCCGCCCCCACCAGCATGACCGGCCGCTGTCGCTAGGAACTGGAAAAACGGGTCCCTGGTCCGTTCTTGATGGTCCCGAGGCCCGAAGGCGGCCCCGCGAGGCCGAAGTGAAGGCAGCGCGCCCGGATGGAGCACACAATCCGTCCGCCCGCAGTTCGGGCCTAGCAAGAGTTGAGCAGGGACGGACCGCCCCAGCATTCCTATAGGCCTACCACGACAGATTCTTAGAGCCCCAAGCTGTTCTGATAACAGACAACGATGTTCTCAGAACATACACCCGATGTGTGAAGGCAAGACAGTCTCAGCCAATACTGCTCTAAGAACAAAAAAGCAGTGCTCTTAGAACACAGAGCCGATGTGCTAAAACACGACAGCCTCAGCCAGACATGCTCTAAGAACATCTCGCGCAGACCACAAAAAAGCTCTTAGAACACTCTTCGGCAGGCCGATGGGCAAGCTCGAGAGAGAGAGAGAGAGAGGGCAGGCGGTCCGAGCGAGGGCCCAGGCCTTGGCGGGCAGGGCCTGGGAGGCCTCGTGGCTCGCCGCCGGGCTCCGCTCACCTGCTGGGGGAGGGGGCCCATCGAGGTGCCACCGCCGCCCTCGGGTACCTGTGACGACGACGCCGCCGCCGTCGTGTCTGACGCTCCAGAGCGTCTCCCCCCGGGGATGGTCGCCGCCGCGGCTGGAGGACGCGGCTCGGACAGCTCGCCAGAGGGGAGCCCGGGAGGGGTGCTGGGGGCCGATGCAGCTCGGCCCCGGGCGCCGCGCAGATCAAAGGAAGCACACGCGATGAGAGATCTTCGCGCTCTGTGCTTGCTCGGCGGCGGGCCCCCGGGGGGGGGAAAAGAGAAGGGGCGGAAGCCCCCAGGCCTTCTGAGCAGTACTCTGAGCTTTCCCCGAAGACAGGGGACCTGTTCTCAGAAGGCGCGAGGGCTCCCGAGAAGTCCTGCCGCCCCCTGAGGAGGCCTCCTCCTTCTCGCTTCCCCCCCTCGCTCGCCGCCAGCTTGCGAGGGCCCCGGGACCATCCACAGAGGGCCCCCCGGACCATCCACACGCAGACAAGCCCGCGACGGCTAGCGGAGGTCGTCGTCGTCGTGAGGCAACATCTCCCGACGTCGGAGGTCTGGGCACCCAGCCCCGTCCCTCGCACCCGGGGGCTTTTTGTCAATAGGGGGGGCACGGCGGGTGTGCCTGTGCTCCTCCGCCCTGGGGGCCCTCGGTCCTCGCGAGCCTCGGGCCAGCTCGAGCCAGCTCGAGCAGTGCCGATGCGTGCCGAAAGATGCCGCGCGCCCCCTGCCTGCACGCGCACTCACCGATCGAGCACAAAGCCCGGTCTAATGCTGGACCCGGTTGGACAAGTCAGAAAATCATAGTCAGACCGGTCCCAAAAGCTGTGCATGGCCTGCCTGAGGAGCGCTTTTCGGCCCTGCAGGCAGCTTTCGAAGCAGCGATTCCGACGACGTCGCTGACTCGAAGCCGCCTCTCCTCCTCCTCCTCCTCCTCCTCCTCCTCCTCCTCCTCCTCCTCCTCTCTCTCCTCCTCCTCCTCCTCCTCCTCCTCCCTCTCCTCCGTTTCCTCCCTCTCCTCCTCTCTCTCCTCCTCCCCTCTCCTCCTCCTCCTCCTCCTCCTCCTCCTCCTCCTCCCTCCTCCTCCTCCTCCTCCTCCTCCTCCTCCTCCTCCTCTCCTCCTCCTCCTCTCCTCCTCCTCCTCCTCCTCCTCGTCCTCCTCCTCCTCCTGCCTGCACCGCGACGGGCAGTCTCTTGCCGTGCCTCGGAGCCCCGAGGGAGGACCCCCCCCCCCGCGCAGCCCCGCCGATGGGGTGAGCGGGAGGAGCCCAGGCGCCCAGCGCGTCGTGATGTGTTGTCTTTGTCGCGGCGCGGCCCCCGAGGCTCTCTCGGCCCACCTGCTGCCCCGCCCCCAGCAGTGGCAGTTCTGGCGCGACCCCCATCCCCTGGCAGTTCTGTTGGCACGGCAGCGGCGCCCTGGGCGCTGCCTGAAATGGGGGGGGGGAGGAGGAGGAGGAGGGAGGAGGAGGAGGAGGAGGAGGGAGGAGGAGGCGGAGGAGGAGGAGGAGGAGGAGGAGGAGGAGGAGGAGGAGGAGGAGGAGAGGAGGAGGAGGAGGGAGGAGGAGGAGGAGGAGGAGGAGGAGGAGGAGGGGAGGAGAGGGAGGAGGAGGAGGAGGAGGAGGAGGAGGAGGAGGAGGAGGAGGAGGAGGAGGAGGAGGAGGAGGAGAGGAGGAGGAGGAGGAGGAGGAGGAGGAGGAGGAGGAGGAGGGGAGGAGGAGGAGGAGGAGAGGAGGAGGAGGAGGAGGAGGAGGAGGGGGGAGGAGGAGGAGGAGGAGGGAGGAGGAGAGGAGGAGGAGAGGGAGGAGGAGGAGGAGGAGCGAGGAGGGAGGAGGAGGAGGAGGAGGAGGAGGGTGAGGAGGAGGAGGACGTAGGAGGAGGAGGAGGAGGAGGAGGGAGGAGGAGGAGGAGGAGGAGGAGGAGAGCCCCGGACCCCAGCTTTCGGCCGCGACCTCCGAGCAGGATCGACATCCGTGAGGGTTCCCCGGAGCCTGCAGGCGGGCGAGCACGCCTGGCGCGAGAGAATGGCAACGCAATGGGATCTGAGGGTACACGTCGATCATGGCTAGTCGTGCTCATTTCTAATTGTGCTCGTTCCCACTTGTTCCTGGCCCTCCAGTGGCCAGGAAGAGGCTCTGGATGGAACACTTAGGAATGAAAGGATCTTGGCCCCCAAAAAATCAAAGAACTCTCGAATAATTATAGGAGGAGGAGGAGGAGGAGGAGGAGGAGGAGGAGGAGGAGAAGTGCTGAGGCGAAGAACGGCACACCGTTCGTGCCCCTTCTTGGGCCCTTCACGGCCCACAAGGTGCACCTCTTCTCTCTCCTTCCCCCCACATTGATTGATTGCCCCGCCGCCCAGTGCGCAGCGCCCGACCGCACCAGCACCACCTTGTCGCGCGGTCGGTGTTCAAGGGATCCTGAGGC